ATGTCTGATCTTAGTATTTTGGTGGACTACATGAGGGTTTTTTTTCCTCAACTTTCCCTTCTTTCTCCTCTTTTTTGGTACTGTGGGACAGTCGGGTTCTCTCTGGGTAGCTCAAGCTGGCCTAGTTTTCTCTATGTAGCATAGGATGGCCTTGAGCGCCTGATCCTCCTACCTCTACCTCCCAAGTATTGAGATGAAAGCTATGTGGGCCATGCCTGAAAGAACTCTGAAATAGGAGGGTCTGCAGGGGGGCACAGGGTGTGGCCGAGGGCCTCAACGAAGCCAAGGCAGTGTGACAAGGACCTTCATTTATTCAAGAGGATTCATTCCCCAGCATCGAGACAGCCCAAGGTGCCACAATAGAGCAGTGGGGAAACAAGCAAAGCGATTTCCCATGGAGCCTCCTTCTGGCTGTGAGTGGTGCCTGTGTACACTGGCGGATAGCCTATTATAATTGTTTTTATTTTGTTTTTGAGATAGGGTCTCACTCTGTAGCTCTGACTGGTGGGGATCTCTCCGTGTAGACCAGGCTGGCCTCAAATCAAAGACGTCTACCTGCCTCTATCTCCTGAGTCCTTGCTTTAAAGGTGTACGACATTCCACCCCTACCAATGATTATGTGAACACACATGCAGTTTGCGGGTGGGGGGGTGTCAGTGACATCATAGGAGGTAAGATGAGTTGGAGTCACAGAAGCAGTTCCCGGGGTGTAGGGAAGAACCTGGTGGGCCAAGACTGCGGGGCAGTGCTCGGTGGAGAAAGAGACCCCCCACGGAGCAGCGCGTCCCTTCCCATCCTGAGATGGAGGCCTTGTTTCCATGAGCTGTGGAAAGTTCATGGCAACCCTGAGGGCCTATTGTGCTTCCTTCCACCCTTCTCTATTTCTCTCTTCCTCTCCCCATACCTTTCTTTTCTTTGTTAACGGAGTTTCCTGTAGCCCAGGCTGTCCTAGAAAGTGCTAAGCAGCTGATGATGACCTTGAACTTCTGATCCTCCTACCTCCACTTCCTGAGTGCAAGGATTATATGTGTGCACCCCACACCTGGCCCACATTTTCATACGCGTGATGGCTTTTTGTTGTTGCTTTGTTTGGGATTTTTTTTTCCCTTTTTTTGCAGTGCTGAGGATTGGACCCAAAGCCTGTTGCATGCTATATGTACTCTGCCCTTGACCTATATCTAAAGCCCCTGACCTATACTTTAATTCAACAGTGAACTTTGGGGACTCAGAGATGTCAAAAGATTTGGGTAGAAGCCTCACCCCCTCTCCACCCCTCCCTGAGGATCTATAGCTGCGTTTAGAAGGAGAGACGTTTTCTTCAGTGGTGTCGAGGCTGGTAAGGCGCCCATGTTCCTGTAAGCAGCCCTCCTGAAACTCACTGGGTCACACGAAGAAGAGGCATGGAACACGAAGAAGAGGCATGGAAGGAGAGAGGGACTAGTTGGGAAGACGAAGGGGATCAGAAGGAGAGGGAGGGGACAAGAGATGAAGACAGGGTGATAGGATCAAAGTGCCTTACAGATATGCCACCATGAAACCCATTATTACGTATAATGAATATATGCTAATAAAAACATTAAAAAGGGCCAACGAGATGGCTCAGCAAGTAAAAACAGTTGCTGCACAGGCCCAAGGACCTGAGTTCCATCCCAGGAACTCAGGGAGGGGAGAACTGACTCCCTAAAACTGTTTTCTAACCTCCACACAGGTGCCATGGCACCTGCATGGGCATGCACACACATGCACACAATAATAATAGATAAACATGTAAACATGCTAAGGGTGTGGGGCCAGCAAATGGCTCAGAGGGCAAAGATGCTTGCCACCAAGTCTGAGGACCTGGGTTCAATCCCTGGGACCCATATGATGGGAGGAGAGAACCAACTCTTATTAGTTGTCCTCTGACCTCCACATGTGTCTCCTCCCAAAATAAATAAATAAGCGTAATTTTAAAATATACTAAAGAAAGGGCTGGAGACATAGCTCAGTAGCTAAGAGCACTTGCAGCTCTTCCAGAGGACCGAGGTTCAGTTCCCAGCACCCATGTCTGGCAGCTCACAACACCTGTAACTGCAGCTGAAGAAGTCAGATGCCTTCTTCTGGCCTCCTCTGGCACTGCACTCAGGTGGCACACACACAAACAAATAAATAAATCTTTTAAAAATGCTAAAGATTGGGGCTGGAGAGATGGCTTGGTGGTTAAGAACACTGGTTGTTCTTGCAGAAGACCCAGGTTCGAATCCCAGCACCCACATGGCAGCTAACATTGCCCATTTTTGTCACAGTACAGTTCATTAGCAAATATATATTGAGATCTGAAAGTTGTGTACCTCACTCTTGATAATACCTGGACTTCTTTGTAAATTAAGTTCTGCTTGCTTTGATGTACACAATTAGGGAAATAATGTCAGTGTTAATCCAGTTCACCAAAGACTGTGTTCGAGTTTAACTATCTTACTAAGCCCCGATTTTTAAATATTTTATCTGTTATTTTTATTTTATGTGTATGAGTGTATTGTATATGAGTGCACCCATGTTGTACAGTGCCACGAAGGTCAGAAGAGGGCTTCGGATTCCCCTGGAACTGGAGTTGAGGACGGTTTGTAGCTGCCATGTGGGTGCTGGGAATCGAACCTGGGTCCTCTGCAGGAGCAGTCAGTGCTCTAAACTGCTAAGCCATCTCTCCAGCCCCATAATGCTTAAGATAATTTTTAAACAAAGGACAATATCATTCAAATATGGGGGGGCAGACCCCAGGGGGTTGGAGAAGGCGAATAAGATGGCACTAGAGCGGGAAAAGAAAGACAAAGTGTGTGTTTTCTCTCATATGGGATCTAGCTTTAAATATATATATATATATATATATATATATATATATGTTGAATT